TAGAAACAATAGGCTCTCAACGGCGGCCCTTCTGGTTAATCTTTTGTAAAATTTCATTAAACTCGTCTCCTTTCACAAGGCTCCATAATAAATAGCCTTTGTTCAACTGTACCACGTTTGTGAGGAGTGCTAAAACAACTTCATCAAATGTGTAATAAAGGGCTTAGTAGGTACCAAGTTAAAATTTTAGTTATGCTCGCTGAAGGAGAATATTTTGTTTAATTTTACTGAATTTGTATTAGTATATTTTGTGTATATCTGTATATATTTTGTTCCCTGGATGCTCATTAAGGTATTTCGGCATTTATTGACCAAGTTATAGTTTAATTAAAACCGAGGATTCTTAAGATTTGATTAACAGTAAGTTGCTAACGAAAATTAATTTATAATCTTCTGACATTTTCCTTCATAATTTTGTTTTCATTTTATTTCTTCTTATTTGGTATTTTCATGTACTTACAAAAATGGTTTACTTATTCCTTTTCGTTTTTAAAAGTATTTTCGCAAATCCAAGTGCACCTCAAGATCTTGAACAGAAATAGATAATTTTTTTTCACTAAAAGAATCGTGTTAGTGACAGCACTGCTGAGTTGTAAACAAAGACAGGTTGGCTTGGATTAGGTTACCCAGACAGTAGTAGTCCTTTGTTCCTGATAGTGTGATGTTTATGTAGAGGAATAAAGTGATTTGTGTATTTGTGTTGAAAGTTTATCAACACAGACTCATTTGTTTCCTGGAGTGATTTACTGACATCACATAGAGTCATCCCTTGTGTGGGAAATCATGGATAATGAGTGCTGAAAAGTTGAAAACTGCCGAATAGTTAACAATATCTCATTTGTTTTCTGAAGTGATATCCTGACATTACACGTATCATGTTCATTATGCTCTATCTACAATAGAATGTCACGACCGATTTATTCAATTGCATTTTCTAAGAAAGAGGTTCCCTTCTGTCATAAACTGAGAAATTCAATGGAAGGAGGATAAATATTTCTCCAAGAACTGTTTCAAGGAGATTGAATGAATTATCTGAACAGTAATCACTCCACATTTTACTAAAAAAAAAAAAAATTAACCGTATTCTTATCAGGCCGGTGGTTAGTTATAGCGGGGAATTCTGAGTAATGCACAAGATAACCTGAAACAGGTTTGAAAGATTCGAGAGGAGAGTGCTGCAAGGAATGTTGGGTGGAGTGCTTGAGAACGGAATGTGGCGAAGTAGGAAGAACAAAGAAGTGTACAACATCTACAATGATCTGTCTTTACTAAATTTTATAAGAATAAGCAGGCTGAAATGGTTTGGCCATGTCAACTGAATGAATGAAGACAGAAAGGTGAAGAAATTATACAAAGGGAAGATCTTCGATCGGCAAGAGCTCGATGGAGGGAGATGGCGGAAGAGGACATGAGACAGACGGGCATCTGTGTGGTGGAGGGCAGATCCCTGTGGTAGCAGATGTTGAAGCAGGCCAAGAACAACTTCGGTCGGTGCCAATAGAAGAAGAAGAAGAACCGTTTTATCCAGTACACATCGAACAAGAAATAGAGTTATACTGTATTTTTTTATAGATGTAGGATGTTTTTGGAGAGCTGTTTTATATGCCTTATGTGGCAACAACAAACAAAAAAAGGTTTTTTTTTTCTTATTTCATTTTGCAGTTAACCCTGAAACACCCAGTATATATTTATTGAACATAATTTTTTTTTTCGTTACATCATATCTTCTCTAATTATTCCCTTTGAAAATCGTGAGCTGCACACGCTGAATTATCCTTTTTAATTTAATGACGCTTGATATGTTATTAATGGTTTTTAATAGTAAGTTTTATTGTAAATTATTTGTATAATCATGTTGCTCATTCCATGAGAAAATGTCAGGATTTTGTGATAATTACATATATTCCAGTGGACACATGATGTTTGAAAATTAATAATGATTTATTGTTAGCACAAGGATGAGACTAAGTTTTGAGAATATATAACGAACTGAAGTCTATTGAAATGAGATGTAGATATAGAGGAATCCGTAATCAGTTAAAACACAATTAAGTCAGTGATTAATGAAGTGGAAACGGGACTCGAATCTGTTATAAGCCGGTTTAGTATGCAGGTAGCCTCTGCCCAGGCTCTTGAGGAGAAAATTTAATTCGTTTCATGAGAAGTTGTTGTTATCAGTTGATTAACATAGCAGAATAGATTTGCTTTTGAAATTCGATTGAAACAATAACCCCTTCTGCAACACCACTTGAATTATTGTTCTAAGAATTCCAAGCAACCTTCCTTCTCATAATTAGATTTTCTGGTTAGCTGAGTAGTTCCAGCAGCTTTGATCAACATTGATATCAGGTAATTCCACGGCCCATATTATTATAATTACATAGCTGTAAACTTGCTAACTGGTCTGCTAAAGTTCTATTTGCATCTGATTCCACATGCAAACAAGAATAATTATATCTTTGAGGTAGCCAATCAACTCTTTACTTGGAATATCTTAATGGCTATTTCAGTATTATCATTTAAATATAATGAAATCAATATTTTTGAAAGTTCCTCATTTTATTTAGGTCCATTCTACTGAATGTACACAAATATTACTGGTGCATTTACTCAAGTCATTCCAGTTATTAAACTGTAAGTTTAAAAAACAAAACAATGTAAAATGGATTAAAAGTATGCGTTAGTGTACCACTAAGTATTTTGTACAGTTAGCTTTCGAAAATTTTTGAACAGACAAGCTGATTGGTCAGTATGATGAAGGTGATTTTTTGTCCATGTTACACTTGTGGATGGATCGTTATATGTGAGTATTTCCATCGTAGTCAGGATTTAGTTGTCCCAGTATTGCAATATAAATAGCAATAATGTTATGAATTTGAAATTCCAGTCCAAGAGTTCTTTGACAGCAATCCCAAAGAATGGTATCAGGGTGGGATCGAGCAATTGTCTAACAGATGGCTAATGAAGGTTGATAACAATGGACTATACTTTAAATATTAATTGTATTTTATATCAAAGAAATAAAAATACAAATATTTAGTTGAAAAACGGTCATTTTTTTATACAGCCCATTATTATATTAAATCATTGTATACAATAACTTTATAAGTAGTGTTAATAAAAATATTGTTTATGATTACATAAGTAAAATTCTGAAGAGGAGGAATGGTCCCTGAAACGTCAATAAGTATGTTAAAATAATAAAATATTGAAGTAGATACGGATGTCAATTATAGATGCCAACAGACCCTTTAAAACATCACAAACTGTTAAATAAATGAGATGTATATCCCGTGTTCCTTTATTTCAGCACTATAAGCAGCAACTGTATTGACACTGCTTAATACTTCTTCCGCTATATCCGAAGCGGATATCAGATGCATCTAAAATGACTCTAAAATCCCAAATCACTATCTTTTTGTTTTTTAACGAAATAGTAATGGATGGACCCATTTTTAGACCCTTTATATTAAATATATATGTTTGAATTTATGAGATGGACCTACTAGAAAAAGGCCCCATTATAAGGCTCTTGTAGCTGAAACTCAATAAATTTCCTATTCTTTCATCAAGATAAGTTAATAACAGATAAAACATAATTTAAAAACACTAAAAGGAACTCTAAAACAAAATCTTTGGAATAAATTGAAATAGTTAGAGGCAAACCTAAGGTATTGTGTCCTTGCTGACAGATAGTTGTTCTTAGGGACACTGGGTGGACTATGAGGGACCTGCCTAATATGGCACTAAGTATTTCGGTTACGGTTTGCTACAAGATTTAAGCAAAAATGCACAAGAAAACATCTGTTGTGTCCACTCACACGACTTTCCTACCTATTTCAGAAAAGTTTTTATATCTTTGCATAGGTTCATGAAGAAACAAAAAAAAATTGAACTAGATTTATTTTCCTGAAAATTGATCAAAGAAAAGATTTGAGTACGATTTATTTGATAAGTTAAAGCAATACAAACAGGCTTAAGGTAGATCAGTGTAAAAATTTCACTACTCTCTAATATTGCTGATCAAAAACTTTTTACCACAGCTTAGTATTGTCAAACAATAATTTCTGTTAAAAGTAGAGGAAATAGTGAAGCTTGTGTGATGCGGGCAACAGGTTTCCTTACTTTCACTTAGTCATCTTTTTTCTCTCGTTCACCCCTTTCTGACAACAGGATATGAACCCGTAATCTTACGTTGGAAATTGAATAGCTGTAACTTCGTTATTAGTAGTCCAAAATGGACGATTTGTATATAGTTTTGAAGGTAATTTAATTACCTTTCAAAAGTGTTATTATAAATTTTACTGTATAATATATACTTAGAGAGTTAGGCTCCATAACATTTTTTTTTCACTATAATTTTTTTTTCCTGAATTTTTTAGGGAATTTAGTCTATATACGAAAATTGAAAGAACAACGATTAGAACATTAAAGGAAAGTTTCATCAAAATCGTTAGAGCTGTTTTCGCGCTACAGTATACAGAAAAATGTGTTTTTCATATATTGCGCGCAAGCTATTGTGCACGGAGCACCGAATTTCTGTCACAGGCATCAGTAGTCAAAACCCTACAAAATAAAAAAAAAGAAGCAACAAAATCGATACAGTAGTTCCCAAGAAAATCTTGCCACAGACAGACCAATGGCTAAAAATGTGTTTTTCGGACTCAGGGGGCTCTGAAATATATAGATCCCTCGAAAATCTCATATCGGAAATTTGACCCGTTCGCCATACTTTCCTTACCTAGTATAGGTAGGAAAATAAAATTAATGAAATATGAGTCAAGGAGGTCCTGTAATCTTATTATTCCCATTTTTCGAGGAGTATGTCAACTATTGGCGAGCTTATACTACTCGTCCCGCTGTGCGATGGTGCTGAAAACGGGGTGAGGTTAAGTAATCTGGATGACACGAAGTGGCCCTATTTTGCTGTAAATAACATTTTTACGTCTGATTGTAAGTAAAATTTAACTTTGTAATATGATTTTGTTGACTTGTTCCAGTTCCATATAACGAGATCGACCCCGAGTCAGGGTTGGTGGCCATGTTCGGGCAGGTCGGCGCCTTCAAGTGCAAGTGTGTCATCGCCGCTGGCGGCATCGCGGGCCTCACCGTCTCCATGTTCGGCTCCATGTTCCCCATGCCGAGGATAGTGTACGCCATGGCCCACGACGGCCTCATCTTCAAGTGAGTCACCTATATTTCGTACAAGGATAATGCCATGATTATCCTTACTCATTAGAGTTTCCTTAACTATGATTTGTATATATTTATGTTTTACAATAGTATAGAGATGGTTGACCGTGGCTATAATGTGAAAGGAGTTGGTGAGTGGTTCGGTCAATATATAATACTATACATCATACATGATTCTGTGGACAGGAACTGCCTTCGGAAAATCATGATTGAACTGGAAGTTCCCGGTAAATTGGTGAGGTTGACAAGGACGTGTATAAATGATCTTAAATGTCGAGTCCTAATACTAGGAAAAGTATGTGAATCCTTCCAAGTTCGAAAACAATCTCAATAAATATCAAATTAAGGCCGTAAAATGCTATGAAGCCATCTAATAAAAGGCTGTGAGGCCTAGGCACTAACCAGTACCATAGAAATAAATATTGAAAGATTTGAGAGACAAATTTTCCGCACGATAACCGCGATCTGGGATCAGAGTGGAGAAGACAGAACAATATAGAACTCCTTACAAAAACGGGTCAATCAATATTCCATGATATGAAGGCACGGAGGCAAAACACCATGTGAAAGGCTGACAAGTAGATGTATAGATAAATTGAATAGAATAAAATGATACAATAGAGCTGCGTTCAGAAAACTGGAAAGAAATAGCCCAAGACAGCCACAGACGGAGCAGGCTTGTTAAAGATCTAAAAGGTCAGTAATGACAACAGGAAAAAAATAATAGTACTTTATTGGATTTACCGACGTTTCAACATACGTTGTAGTTCTTCATGAGGGCTATAAAAGAAAAAAACTATAAATATTAATTGGTACCAGGTAAAAAATAGTTGAATTATCAATAGAGATTAAACAAATTCAGGTTACCAAATAAACAAATTAAAGAACTTATAAAATAACATAAGTGATGTAGTGATTGGTGTCGTTAGAATAAATGTTTAATATATATATATATATAATGGACTATAGCAATAGACCTTTTTATTGGTCCATTGGATTCCCTCTTCGATCAAAATAGAAAGCAGAGGTCTATAACGGCTATGTGGGGTTGTTATTAAATAAGTTATTTGAATTAAAACGGAAAGTTAGAGATTTAAATTTAATGTAAAAATTGTTTTGCCGACTCTCCTATAATGTTTAAAAACTCTGATCTAGAGCATTTAGAACAGAAACAAATAATTATTAGCACAACAGACTTTTTTTAGGTGGTCCTAAATTTCCATTCCATTCCAAGTTCTATACTGCGATGGACGCAATAGAATTCTCCAGCCCTAAGGTTGGTCTGCTTGCGTAGTTTGAATGAAACTTCAATTATTACAATAAAAAAAGGCATTTATTATTAAACGTAATTTTTTATCAGCTTTTGCACGAATCAATAGTGTTATAGAAATGAAAAAAAAAAAGCAACACGGGTTTAAAAAAGTTAACGTATACCGAGAATTTATTCCGATGAAGTCCATCATGGAAGAAATCATGTTTTTCCTGTTACTAAATATTGAAAAAACAGTCTCACCTGATTTTAAAGGCATGTTTTCCTCTTTTTTTAATGATAAATTCAGTGTATAACAATATTCAACAATTTTTAAAAAAGTATTTTAAATTTGTAGAATGTTTTATATAATGATATTATGATCTTGATTATTGTCGAACCGGTTATATAAATACAAGTTATTATATTAAAAAAATAGAATATAGCAAATAAATAGAGTTCGACAAAACAACTGGTGGTGTGAGTGAGAGTTCCTAAAATATGTCATCATTTTAATTCTTGAAAATTTTAACAATATTCCAATTTTTTGTTTTGTCGAATAGTTTTGTATCTTTAAATTTATTGTTAATATCTTAACTTCCAATATTGTGTAATAGCTAAAATACAAATATTGTGTAAGGGCTAAAATGACCCGTAAGTGGTTGAAAATCCTCCATAATTATAATCAAATAAAATATGTCATTCTTATATTTTTTTTTTCACAGATGACATAAGTTTTTAAATTAATTAATTTTGGTTTGGGAATTCTCATAAGTTTGATTATTTTATTGATTTTCTTTATTTATATATCACTTTAACAGTTATATATTTTTCATACTTTTAAACATTAAATTTTCCCGTATTAATAATAAATAATATATAAATAATAATAATAATGTTTAATAACAACAATGTTTAAAATTAGATTGCGGAAAGTGCTCAAAACCCAGCTAACCGGGAAACAAAAAATCAAGGCTATTAACACCTGGGCAATACCTGCTCTCGGTTATAGTTTCGGCATATTGCACTGGTCAAACACCAGCCTACAGGAGATCGACCGCCTTGTGCGAACAACTCTCACACAAGAACGGGCCCACCATCCAATATCCTCAAAAGCTCGTCTGTATTTGCCTAGGAATGAAGGAGGACGTGGTTTGCTAAATATCGAAGAAGCTTGCCGCAAGCAGGAAGCGGCCCTATGCCGATACTTTCTTACAAAAAAAACTGAGGTTTACCTCGCAATCTCAAGATTGGATTATGGTCTAACCACACTTAACCTGAGCAATCGTGAGGTCTCTACAATCGTGTCAGAAAATGAACGCTTGACAGAATGGAAAAATAAATCTCTGCACGGAAGATTCTACAGCAAATTAAATGATAGCTCGATTGACAAGGAAATATCCATTGAATGGCTGAAAGCTGAAAAGATATTCTCCGAGACAGAAGGATTCCTGCTCGCCATCCAAGAACAAGTTATTGCTACTAGATCATATAGAAGGCATGTTCTTAAAGACGCAACAACTACAGATAAATGTCGATTATGCTGAGCGACGCTGGAATCAATCCAACATGTCACAGGTGGGTGTGGAGTGTTGGCTGGCACCGAGTATCTCCAGAGGCATAACAATGTGGCTAGAATTTTTCATCAGGCTCTGGCGGTGAAGTTCAACTTGTTAGATGAAAAAACTCCATATTATAAGTACCACCCAAATAAACTCCTCCAAAAAGGCAGTCTCAAGCTATACTGGGATGAATCGATTATAACTGACCATACTGTGCGTCACAATAAACCAGACATCCTTCTGATAGACATGAGAGAGAAAAGACCAGAGCTTATTGATGTCGGGATCCCCAATGATAATAATATAAGCTCCACTGTTGTAGAAAAACTGAGAAAATACCAGAAATTGGCAATCGAACTGAAGGAATTGTATCATTTGGAAGGATTTGTATCAATTGGAGTGGTGGTGAACGTCACCACCACTCCAATTATAATATCCTCCAATGGATTGATACCAAAGACAACAGTGGCAGGCACGATGGGATTAAAATTACCTCTTGAAGTGCTGAAAGAGGCACAACACTCAGTTCTCTTGGATACGGCACGTATTGTTCGAAAGTTTTTAAATATCTAAAAAGTAATAGATATTAATCTGAAGTGGCTGGACTTCTGGTCTCCCACCTCAGAAACTTACCCCGTAAGCGAGAATAAAGAATGGAAATAATAATAATATATTAAAATAATTTATATTATAACAATTTATTATTTACTATGCACATAATATAACAGTGATAAAACCTGATAGATAAAAATTATGGTTACCAGAACGTAAGGTGGAATGAGAAATTTAAGTTACCTTGTTAATGCTGCAATTTTGTTGCCAACTTTATTTTGATATTTTATAACAGTCTAAAAATAATGTATCGGATACTAACAGTTAAAATTTTCAGATTTATCAATATAGATTCTATTTGCTTGTAATTTGATAGTTCAATTGAATTACATCAAAAACAATTAAATCTTAATTATTTACTTATTTAAAATGAAGATGATATTTGATAGGAGTATCATGAAATCAATAATCCCCTCCCCTCACTGCTCAATGAGGGTTTCTGATTAAATGACAGTATAGATATACTCCACATATTATGACTTTAGAAATTCGATCACTTATTTCATGGACGTGGCCAGTTGGCACGCTATCCAAGATTAATGGAATTACTAGCTTCGTAGTTAGTATTTTAATCTTGGAAGAGAAACATCAAAAAATAGTTCAAATTTGAAAATATAGCTATCAATATCAATGAATTCAATAAATTTTAAAAATTGAAAATTAATCTATTATATATATATATATATATGTAGAGAGAGAGAGAGAGAGAGAGAGAGAGAGAGAGAGAGAGAGAGAGAGAGAGAGAGAGAGAGAGAGAGAGAGAGAGAGGAGAGAGAGAGAGAGAGAGAGAGAGAGAGAGAGAGAGAGAGAGAGAGAGAGAGAGAGAGAGGAGAGAGAGAGAGAGAGAGAGAGAGAGAGAGAGAGAGAGAGAGAGAGAGAGAGAGAGAGAGAGAGAGAGAGAAGAGAGAGAGAGAGAGAGAGAGAGAGAGAGAGAGAGAGAGAGAGAGAGAGAGAGAGAGAGAGAGAGAGAGAGAGAGAGAGAGAGAGAGAGAGAGAGAGAGAGAGAGAGAGAGAGAGAGAGAGAGAGAGAGAGAGAGAGAGAGAGAGAGAGAGAGAGAGAGAGAGAGAGAGAGAGAGAGAGAGAGAGAGAGAGAGAGAGAGAGAGAGAGAGAGAGAGAGAGAGAGAGAGAGAGAGAGAGAGAGAGAGAGAGAGAGAGAGAGAGAGAGAGAGAGAGAGAGAGAGAGAGAAGAGAGAGAGAGAGAGAGAGAGAGAGAGAGAGAGAGAGAGAGAGAGAGAGAGAGAGAGAGAGAGAGAGAGAGAGAGAGAGAGAGAGAGAGAGAGAGAGAGAGAGAGAGAGAGAGAGAGAGAGAGAGAGAGAGAGAGAGAGAGAGAGGAGAGAGAGAGAGAGAGAGAGAGAGAGAGAGAGAGAGAGAGAGAGAGAGAGAGAGAGAGAGAGAGAGAGAGAGAGAGAGAGAGAGAGAGAGAGAGAGAGTGTGAGAAAGGTGTTTACCGTAGTCCTTCCCCAGGGTCCTCAGGAATAACCTCGTTTACCGCCTTCCTTGATCACGCTCCTTATCGAGGTGGCACAAGAATTGTCGCAGAATATTACTCCCGTGGGAAGGCCACT